AAGTTTGGCTGTAGCAATAAAAATTGCCCTGATTATTACAAAATTGGTGGTAAATCTCTGCCAGAAACTATAAAAGTTTATGAAACAAGAAATCCAGGGCTCGATAAAAGTGAACTTCCAACTGCAGCAACTATTAGAAATTTGATTGAAAGGTTTGAAACAAATGGTAAGTTATTTTTGCAAATATTGAAATTTGTGTACAATTATATTTATATATTTTCCAATAATAGGTTCCGTTTCCAATAAGAAATATGTCAGAGCGAAATCAGCTGATAGAAGACAATTAGAAGAGAATGTTTTGGCAAAAGTTACCAGAAGTCCAATGAAGTCATTGCAAAGGACTTCTATTGATTTGGAAACAGAGGGAATACAATGTCCCCCGTCAACTATTTATAAGATTCTTAAAGACAATAAGTATTTGCCGTACAAAATAAGAGCTGTTCAAGATTTAAGCGAAATTGACTGCCAAAAGCGTGTAGAAATGTGTAATTGGTAAGTTATTATCTCACATAGTATTAATTGTGCACAACTTTCAATATTTGTTTTTAAGGATTCTCGACCAGATTAATTGTGATTGGAAAACAATTAAAAACTTCTTCTTTATGGATGAGTCAATATTTTATACAAATGGGACATTTAATACACATCACAACCGTTATTGGTCTCAGACTAATCCAAGAATCGCAGCACCTGTGAACATACAAGGCGGCCCAAGTGTTATGGTATTAGGCGGTATATGGCAAGACAGGGTATATGGCCCGTACTTCTTTGATGGCAATGTGACGGGTGAAAGCTTTACTCAAATGTTATGCACAGAAATTATTCCAGATCTTCAACTGGACAATGAAAATATGTCAAATTGTATCCCAGTATGTATTTTTCAAATATTTAAAGTTGTGCACAATTATATTTTTATATTTTATTAAGGTTTTAGATGGCTGTCCCGGACATTGGTCTCTTAAATCGAGAGAAGCCCTAAATTGGTATTTCGAAAAGAAATGGATTGGAAGGGGAGGATCTAATGGAGGACAAGCCGAATGGGCTCCAAGAAGTCCTGATTTGTCGCCCATAGATTTCTACTTATGGGGATATGTTAAGAATTATGTGTTTAGGCCTCAATTCATGCCATACACTCTCGAGAATCTAAAGCTTAAAATTACTGAAGCATTTCAATCAATTACTTTAAAAACTTTGCGAAAAGTTAGAAAAGAATTTGCATTAAGAGTCTGTCATTGTATCGCTGTTGATGGGAAACAATTTGAACACTTAATTTAAATTTATTAATATTAATTGTGCACAACTCAATATTTGTTAAATTGTTTGAAAAAATAAAAGTTGTCATAAGTTGGTGTTCACACTATCAGCATATGACTGTAATTTTGAGTTCCGATGCTTATCATTATAATCCGTATAAGAAATAGTGCTTCGTTATCAATCCCTGCCTTTGCTACCTTTATAACCATTCATTGTAGATACTGTATAACCAGGAATAGACGCTATTAAAGGGAACTGTATGTCATTCATAAGGGTATCTAGTAGATACTATCTACACCTGAATAGAGGCGCCGTCGACCATAAGTACCGTTCCCTCACAAACGCCGACTCGAACTTTTTCCCTTGCAACATATTTCTGACTCACACCCCGGTTATTGGTGTCATAGTTATCCAGGTCTATCCACCGGCCGTACTGACCCACCACCTCCTCGAACAACACCAGGCGCTCGTTGGACAGTGATTTTATTATTTTAATTACTCTGTTTTATTAAATTACAAGCAATTAAAATAATGAAAATTTTGCTTATTAAGTTAATGTTAGCAATTATTTGTATTACATTTATACAATTGTGACCAAATTTATAATGAACTTATTTTGTAATCATAATTATAAATAAATAAAGAATTTAAAATAAACTATTAATTAGTTTGCATTCATTTTAATGCAATACATCAATGGTTTAGATTTAGAGCCAATTCTGTGGCAAATATTTAATAGCCATCTATTGGTTGCATATTTGGCTAATTTTAGTTATCTATAAATTAATTAATTGCAATTAGGTTTAAGTTTAGTTATTTGAAAATTAAATTAATGCTACAAGGTGATTGACATGAAAAATTATATATGAGTTATAAATATGTTTTGCGTAAACCAAACACTAAATAATAGTATTTCTATATATGGGATTTAAAATAATTAGCAAATTAATATACAGTATATTAACCGGATACTATTATAATCCGAGTTGATTTTTGATAGGTATAAATATAATATGAATTTCTAGTAAATAGTCGAGATAACCATGCTCACATTAAGCTGTTTATACGAATACAGCAATCAAATCAAAATAATTTTGCACTTATTTAATGTTATGTTTGATATGAAATAAATTGCATTAATATTAAAATTCCACTTTTATTCAAATTGGTTAATAATTTAACAAATTATAAAAGCAATTACTGTAAATGTGGTATAAATTCACACAAATTATTTAAATATGACTTAATTATAAAAACATAAACTAAAACATTTATATTAAATATAATTCATAACAAAGTATTTCAAATCATCCCATTAGTTTAGATCTTGTTATTGTTAATAAAATGATCAAAAAATAAATGTTTATTTTTATTAATATCTAAACAAAACAATTGGTTATTATTATGAACTCAATGTTTGGTTAAGCTTATGAATACTAATCCCAAACATATTGAGGGAATAGGAGGTCAAGGGTTGGTTGCGATTGAGTTCAGAGAAAGATAACCTTATATCTTATCAAATATCATATGATTTTAAACTACTTAAAACTCAAACTCACCCAGATAATATTAAAATAGGTTAATAGATTGTGATAAAAATTTCATATAAAATCGTGTGTTTTATAAAAACAAAATTTAAGTTTAATTTTGTCAGACATTATGTCCAAACATTCAAATGAATATTGATTTCATAATTAGTTTTTAAATTGTTTTGTGTTTTTCTCTGCAATTATGTCTCAAATCTATGCGAAAGACTCTTTCGATAGATTTGGTGACGATTTGAGTGAAGTTTTGTTGAGTTATCTCTCATTTGACTCGAGTTTCCGATTTGAATGTCTGTCCAAACAGTGGGAAAGACTGGTATTCAACGGACGGACAGATTTAAAAAACATACAGAAATTCTATTCATTGGATACTATTGTGAAAAAGTGTCGAAACATTGAATTCACAGAAATATTCAATGATTTAACGATGGATTTGATTACAAAACACTGCAATCGAGTGAATGGTATTCACATTAACTTTGATATAAATGCCGATAAAATTGACTTATTTTTACAAACGCGTGGAAAACAATTGAAAACAATTAAGTTTTATTACAACTTCTCGAGACATGAACTGAATGTCAAACCAATTGCTGATTGTCTAAACATTTGCATAAATTTATCCCAATTAGTGACTAATTGTACATCACTTTCACAACTATTCAGTGAGACATCAAATAATGTTTTCACGAAATTATCTAAAATTACGTTTGATTTCGACAAAAGTGATGTAAAAGTGTTTCAAATGTTTGTGAAATCCTATAGAAATACAATGAAATCCATTTCAGTGACAATCGATAGGCGCTGTAATGAGGAGTCAATTGCGATACTAATGACTGGTTTGTCACAAATGTCTCAATTAATAGACATTCAAATCACTGAATACAACGAAATTCTAATTAATGACGATTTAGTGAATCTATTGCCAGAAATTAGTGCCAAATGTCTTAAACTCCGGAGACTTTCACTCAATTTTACACTAAATTATTTGAAACGTTTGTCTCATTTGTTTGACACAATTAATGAAAACTTTCAAAATATTAAACGATTGAAAATTCAGGGATTTATTGCCAGAAACCACACATTAATGTGTGAATCACTTAAGCAATGCAAACGATTAACTCATTTATCACTTGAATGTATGGACAGTCCGTTTTATCCCAAAAATCGCATTAAAAACAAGTTTTTCGATAATATCGACAAAATATTACCGAAACTTCAATACCTATACGTTTCAAAGACTCGTATTAATGATTATGTCATGAATTGTGTGTCAAAAGTGGCAAACATTCACACCATTAGACTCTATGGCAGTCAAGAAGTCACACAAACGGCGGTTAATAATGCGATCGAAATGTTGCCAAAAATTAAAGATTTCATTATTAATGATAAATATCTTTATAAATCGACAAAATTTCAAACATTTTATAATTATTAATTTTAATGGATATTTATTGTATTTAGTATAATATTTATGTATTTTATTTGTATTAATGATAACCATTAATTGAGAGTTAAATTACAAAATATTAAGTTTTTATTAAAACAATGTATCAATATATAGTATTTTATTTACTAAATTTAATCATTTAATTTTGATTAATTTTCATAACCTTTTCCATATTTATATTGATTACAGTACAGTATGTTATGATTATGAAATGTGCTAATAAATTGTTCCCTGTTTAAATGTAAGAATTATTGACTCAATGTGTTAATTAATAAAATGGATATTTTTTATTTTATAAAAAGCAGCTAATTTAGATTTTAAATTTTACATTTGTTGATTTAAGTTAGTGTTTTGTGTAATTATTTTGTGACAATAGTATGTCTAAACATGAACGTTAGTTAAATGGTTATGTAATTCAGATTTTGTTATAAAACATTTGTCGCATTCATTGTAATGTCATTTATGAGGCCTTATATTCATATGCAATCGTCTCCTGTGTTCAGCTAAACGTGAATTTCTGGCAAAACTTTTGTGACAATCATTGAAATGACATACAAATGGCTTTTCGCCCGAATGTTGGCGTTTGTGTTCAGTTAGGGTTTGATTTTGTTTGAATTTTTTGCCGCAATTCTTCTCATCGCATATGAATTTCTTTTGATTCAAATGAACACACATTTTGTGTTTATTTAGATATTGTTTTGATTTAAAATGTTTGTGACATTCACTCCAATTGCATACATATCTCACGTTTAAATGAACACTATTTTTGTGGAGATTTAAATGTGAGAAGTGTTTATAAACTTTATTACAATTATCGAAATCACATTTAAATTGTTTTGTATTTGAATGTTTGAATTGATGTTTAGTTAAATCCCTTTTATTATAAGTCTTGTACTGACATTTAGGCCAAAAACAGTGGAAATAGTGATAAGTGTTGAGTGTATTAATGGTGTTGTGATTTGGAATATTTAGAGCAACTCATTTGTAATAAATTACTTATAAATTGCTTATAAAATTACTTATAATATAAGTTTGAAGACAAAACTGATATTTAATCAAAACATTCCTTGCTTTTATATGCACATGATGTTTTTGATTATAATTAGCATAAATAGTGATATGTTATCAATGCTATCATTTATTAATACTAATTGTGCACAACTTTCAATATTTGCCATAAGTTGGTGTTCACACTATCAGCATATGACTTAATTTTGAGTTCCGATGCTTATCATTATAATCCGTATAAGAAATAGTGCTTCGTTATCAATCCCTGCCTTTGCTACCTTTATAACCATTCATTGTAGATACTGTAGAGTAAATAATTTACTGTATTTTTATATAATGCTGTATTATAGTTAATAATAATTTATATATATTTTTTGAAACTTGGTTAATTAATGTTTTGTTAATTCAGTGAATTATTTAATATTTTATTATTAATTTTATGATTACATTAATGTTAACTAAAAACGTATGAAACAAAAGTTTATAATTTGTGTTTTGGTTTGATAAGGTAGGTGCTGATTGAATGTAAAATAATTCCTAAACATACTTAAACATCAAGACTTAATATACAAGTAAAAAATGTTCATTTCTTATGAAATCGTGTCATATGTTTATTGAGTTGCTGTTTATGAGCAAAACATTTGTTGCAATTCTGTTCATCACATTTGAATGGCTTTTGCTTTAAATGAACGGAACGGTTGTGTCGATATAAATGATGTTTGTAACCAAATACTTGTCCACAGTTTGGTTGCGAGCACTGGTAGACAGGCTTTCCCTTCATGTGAACACCGATTATATGTTGATTTAATGCATTATTGTTTGCGAAATTTTCATTACATCCGCGATATTTACAATAAAACTTGTAATTCAAGTGTTTTTTCCAATGAACTGATAATTTAAACTTTTCTCTAAACCTTTGTCCGCAATCATTGTATTGACAAACAAATGGCTTTTTACCCGAATGTATAACTTTGTGTTTATTTAAATTGCGTTTGTAATTAAAAAGTTTGCCACAATTTTTTTCATTGCACTTATATTTCTTTTCACTCAAATGAACACAACTTTTGTGTCGATTTAAACAGTATTTAGTTGTAAACTGTTTGTGACATTCACTCCAATCGCATACATATTTCACGTTTAAATGAACGATATTTTTGTGGTGATTTAGATTTGAAATATACTGATATATTTTATTGCAATTATTAAAATCACATCTAAACTTAGGAGTATTTGATTGTTTTAACTGATAATCACTTATTTTACATGAATTCAAATCAATTGAATTGCAATTCATTGACAAATTCACTGCATTTTCGCATTCAATCCCTTCACACAAAACACTTGCATTTTGTGACAAAAAACACTGCATTTCTTGTAAACTTTGACACAAACTCCGAAATTCGCACAATTTATTTAAAATAGACTTCATTGCAAAACATTTAAACTAAATCATTTATATAAAATATTATACTTAATAAAGTATTTCTAAACATACCATTAGTTTAGATTTTGTTGAACAAAACAATTGGTTATTATTATGAACTCAAGGTTTGGTTAAACACATGAATACTAATCCCAAACATATTGAGTGAATAGGAAGTGAAGGGTTGGTTGCGATTGAGTGCAGAGAAAGAGATTAAGATTTATATTTAACTAGGATTTCAAGCAATAGATTATAAATCTCGTGATAAATCAGTGGTTCATGTGATGAACACCTGAGAAATCATTTCATGAAAACCGTAATAATATTTAATATTTGTATTAATTTTAAACATTTAAACACTTGTCATATGAATTCAATTATATTTTAATTATTAATTCTGTTGATTGTGTCAAATAATTAAACTAAATCTTTAACTCACAAACTTATTGTATCTAAAACATATTACACTTTAAATAATAATTTAAATTATATTTAAATAGTACAATTTGATCTTTGTTAGAAATTTTATAAACTGAACCCAAAATAAAATGATTGCAAATACTGTGTATTAGTTTATGCTATTATCCCTGATATGATAACTACTGTACAGTCAAACCTTCAGATTTATATTTAACTAGATTTTCAAACAATGGATTTAGATTAAGATACTGTTTAAAAACAAAAGTTAATACATACTTACCTATACATCTACTAGGAAGTAGGTAAATCAAATTATTTATCAATTTTAACGATAAATAAAAGGATTATCAGATTGTTATGGATTTAAAATCGATTCTAGAAATCTCATCCAGACTCTCCCTATTAGCCCAAATAATTTATTTGCATTGAGTTTCCTGATTTGAATAGTTCAGTATTCATATAAATTCATACAGTATGTTGTAAAGTAAATGATAGTTTTAATTTTGTCAGTCATTGTGTGCACACATTGACACGAATATTGATTTAATAATAAGTTTTTCAATAGATTTGTGTTTTTCTCTGCAATTATGTCTCAAATCTATGCGAAAGACTCTTTCGACAGATTTGGTGACGATTTGTGTCAACACTTATTGAGTTATCTCTCATTTGACTCGAGTTTCCGATTTGAATGTCTGTCCAAACAGTGGGAAAGACTGGTATTCAACGGACAGACAGATCTCACAAAATATATGATTTTCTATCCATTGGAGTCTATTGTGAAAAAGTGTAAAAATATTAAATTCGCACAAATATGCTACAATAATGATATTGATTTGTTTATAAAACATTATAATCGACTAAATGGCATCGAAATTGAGTTAACTGATTATGACATACATTTGAGAGTTCATAAAATTAAGACATTTTTAGTACAGTTTGGAAAACAATTGAAAACATTTCGCATTCGTAACTATAATCTAACGAATGAATTGAATAATAAATTAATCACTGAATGTCTCGCGTTTTGCACAAATATATCGCAATTAGGTGCTGGGTATTTGCCACTTTCAGTGCTATTTAAGGATACAACAATTATTGTTTTGACAAAATTATCGAAAATAACATTTGATTTCAACAAAAGTGATGAAAAATTATTTAAAATATTTGTCAATACCTATAGAAATACAATGAAATCAATTGCTGTGCGAATGGATAACTCTTGTGATGAGGAGTCAGTTGTGATACTAATGACTTGTTTGTCACAAATGTCTCAATTAATAGACATTCAAATCACTGAATACAACGAAAAGTCTATTGAAGAAGTTTTTGTAAAACTATTGCCAGAAATTGGTGTTAAATGTCATAAACTTAAGAGACTTTCACTGCATTTTGATGTCTATTATTGCTCACAAATCGCTGAATTATTTCATACGATTAATAAAAACTTTTCAAACATTAAAAGACTGGAAATCCACGGATTTGACGCCGATTTGTATCCAATAAATAGTGAATCATTGAAATCATGCAAACGATTAACACATTTAACGTTTAGATGTAATAATATGAATGAGAAGTTTTTTGATAATATTGCCCACAATTTACCTAAACTTCAATACCTATTCATTTCAAACACACGTATTACTGATTATGTAGTGAATTGTGTGTCAAAAATACCAAACATTCAAACCATTAAACTCAATGGATTTCAACATTTTATAGTGAAATAACTATTCACAACGAGATTAAAAAGTATCCAGATATTATTAATCTTATTGTTAATACCAAAAGATATTTTATGAATATCAAGACATGTAATTAATTATTGATTAAAACAAAATTTTTCAGAAACATGAATATTAATTATATGTTTTAAGTCACATTTTAATGAAAAATTATTACCGCTATCATTATAATCGCATTTATAACGCTTTAGATTTACATTAAAAACTTACGATTAAATTATAATATCATTTTAAACAATGAAGTTGTGATACATTTTATTTATTACTCTAATGTTAATAATAAATAAATTAATTATTGTATTAGGATTACCTGGTTTAAAATCTGTATTAAACATACTCTCATACTTCCTGACCTTATAATGACATCTAAAATGATATTTCCTTTTCTTAAAAATAATTTCATAAAAATACAGATGTTTTACGTAAAACCTTAAATCCAAAGTAATTACTGAATCAATGATCACTGAATTGGCAATAATTGGTGGCAATTGTCAACGACTTCGCAAACTATCATTGGATGTGAAATCATATGCTGTGAACACAACCACTGATTTGTTTCATACGATTAACACATCGTATCGACACATAAGACGACTGCAAATCAATGGCTTTAATGCAAACAAAATATACATTTGAAAGATTGTAAATACAATCATAAAGTGTCCCAAAATTATTGATTTTATTGAAAATTAGTAGTTACAAAGAAATATTTTTCAAATTATACTAAAGTGCAATACATATAATGTAAATATACTTTAATTTATATACAATTACAAATTCATATTAATTTTTATAATACGGATTAGATTACATTTGAATGATTAAAATCTAAATTTATTTCATGATTAGTCATATAATTTACATGGTCATTCACATTTGTTATAAAATTATAATAATTAACATAATTTGAACTATTGTTTAATATGTTTTTAATTTTAATTTATTTACTTTCATTACAATGTTTACGTTTGATATGCTGTTGTAATTCATATTTATTAATATAAGAGTTATTGCACTCATTATAATTGCATTTAAACGGTTTTATATCCAGATGCCTTTTGTAATGTTTATTAAAATAATATTTTTTATTAAATCTTTTATTACAACCATTGAAATGACAAACAAATGGCTTTTCACCCGAATGTATGCGTTTGTGTTGAAGGAGATTATATTTATGGCCAAAACTTTTGCCACAATTTTCTTCATTGCATTTGAATTTCTTTTCTCTCAAATGAACAGCACTTTTGTGTTGAAGTAATGAACGGTTTTGTGTAAACTGTTTGTGACATTCACTCCAATCGCATACATATCTCACGTTTAAATGATAGATATTTTTATGTAGTTGTAAATGAGCCGATTGTTTATAAGCTTTCTTGCAATTATTAAAAGTACATTTAAATTGTTTTATATTTGTATGCTTTACTTTATGATCAGTTAAATGGCTTTCATTACGGGTTTTATAGTGACATTTAGGCCAAAAGCAGTGGAAATAGTGATAAGTGTTGAGTGTATTAATGGTGTTGTGATTGGAAAGCATTTTATCACTTATTTTACATGAATTCAAATCAATTGAATTGCAAT